CACCTGTGTGACAAAGCTGGGCCCTATCATGAGTTCCCTGCCTTCCCTTCCCCAGATATGGCCTGGGGATATCCAAACTTCAGTGATGTGCCCTGACAACTTTTCCTGGGTGCCCCACCCTGAACCCCAAAGGCACCTGCCTGTGGGTTCTCCTCTCTGCTCCCCTCTGGTTGGTGGAGCTATTCTTTCATACAGACTCTGTATGGTGTGCCCCACTGCGTCACCCTCTCTGGGACCTGCTAGTATAACAAATCCCTTTAAAATTTCACCTGCCTCCTCTGGTGGGATTTCCAAGGCTGTGTTGAATGACCACTAAAAACCCTGAAAGATGCTCCCGTATACAACAATGCACTTCCATGCTTCATAAGTGTCTGGATCTCCTCCTCAGTAATGTCTAGAGCATCCAGCGTCTGCATCATAAGCACTTTCGCCTTGTATTTGCAATATGACACTTGCCTTCAACGTGCCTCCATCAGACCAGGAGCTCTGGGAAGCGGGGTCCACCACTCTCTTCCTGGCTCCTGTACTTCTGTCTCAGTGCAGAACTTGCCTCAGAGAAGGCATTTAATGAGCAGTTGATAAACGCACAAATAAGTTGTCTCCCCCAGCTGGCTGCGAGCACTGTGTTAGAACTAGTGTGTGTTCTTTCTTAGTGGGGGGCATTTCTCTTTGATCTCAGCATCTCCTGGGGCCCCAGGAGAGTGGGGGCTGCAGAATGAGTGCTGTGCAGATGCATGGTGACCGGCCCTCCTCTTGCTGTGATGTCTGATGCAGACTGGCAGGTTTGTAAGAAGACCAGGAGCCACTGCCTGCATGGCACATCTGAGGGCACGGGAGGTGCAGAGAGAGGTCAGGAGAGTAAACCTGCATTTCTGTTACTTGGACACACACCAGGCTGCTTGGTTGTGATAGGAAATGTGTGTGCTAATGAGACAAATTCTCCCCCTGGCAGGTGGGTCTGAGTCTGCAGACCACCTTCCCTAGTAGAATTCGGCATCCTGGGTCCAGCTGTCAGAGGAGGAGCAAGGTGACTGCTGATTGGTGATGAGGGAGGACCTTGCGCTCAGGATCCTCTGAAGGTTTTTAATCCAGAGAGATTAAAAGATAGAGGGAGGGCAACTGGGAGATGAGATGTACAATCATGGGTAACAGAAAAAGGAGGACCAGCTGTGGCTCCTTGCTGATGCTGCTAGTCTGGTTACCTCGTTCTCTCTGTTCCGGGTCACTCCCTGCTGCCACCAGAACTTTGTGGGTTCAGAATTTGTGAGTGGCGACTTGTCACAGCCACTAATGAACTGTGCAGGACCAATGGAGTTGGTCTTTCAGCCTCTTGGCATTGCGTGTAGGTGAAAATGAGGCACTTGCTTGTGAACGGGTGTGTGCACAAACACACACTTTAATTTTCTTCTTATTTAAACCGGAGCTCCATTGTTAATATGGTGCACTGATGAGGACATTGCACCTTTCTAAAATGCATAACCTAATCTAACCATGAGCAAATATCAGAGCAGTCCCAAAGGGGAGATGCCCTACAAAATTACCTGAGCAATACTCGGCAGCAAAGTCAAGGTCATGATAGACAAAGACTGAGCAGCTGTCCCAGGTGGGATGGACTGGAGAATCTAAAGTCTAGATGACGATAAGAAGTGGGGTCCTGGACCAGGAAGGAAGGGCAAGGGTGGAAAAAGTCTGTCCATCACCTAGAAGTAGCTCATGGGTGTTAACTTTCTGGTTTTAATAAGTGAATGATGGAAATTGAAAACATTGACCTTGCAGGAATCTAGGTGTACTTTGTACAGGAACTCTAGGTCATATTTTGGTAACTGTTCTTTGAATCTAATGTCATTTTAATATAAAAAGTTTTAAAAAATTGGAGTAGAGAATCTTAGTAAAGCTATGATTCTCACTGACAGAGTGGTTCAAAGAGAACATGCCTAGCAAGCATGAGGCCCTGAGTTCAAACCCCAGGGACACCAAAAAAAAAAAAAAAGTGAACAAAGCTGATTCTCTCTGGCAGAATGGCTCAAGTGGTACAGTGCTTGCTTAGCAAACCTGGAGTTCAAACCCCAATATCCACCCCCACCAAAAAGAAAAGCTATGATTCTCTGTCCCATAGTTGATAGGCAGACGAATGACAGTATTTAAGTATTTTGCACAAAGTCTAGTCTGAAGTGTTAAGTGTTGTTAATAACAAAGAGAGGTTTAGGCTTTCATGCATCAGAAGACAGTGCAGTTTGATGATTACATTTTCCCGAGAGAAGCTGGTGGAATCAGAGCCGTGGCCTCTCTCGCCTGCTGCTCTCTTGGACCCACGGGTATATACTTAGGGAACTCCCCAGTCAGGAGCCAGTGCCTATAAGGGTTCGGGCTCCATTCTCTCTACAAGTCAGGCTGGCTTGCTAGTGTTCACATCGACCTTGTTGACGTGATGTAGGCGAGTTAGAAGCTGCCATGGCTTGGAGATTCAATGATGAAAATACCAGTTTCTGGATATTGTAAAGGGGTGCTCACAGCTCCTGTTTATGGCAACCAATTCTAGTTTTCTGTATTGCAATTTTTGCTTTTTTTTTTTTATGTACTGGGTTTGAACTCATGGCCTTGTGCTTGCTAGGCACTACCAACCCCCAATTTTTACTTTTGACACCGGTCCTTTTAAAAATAAACATAACTATGTAGATGTAATCAGTTGATTTAAAGAATAAGTTTGGGCTGGTGAAGTAGCTCAATAGGTAGAGCCTGGCAAAAGGCTCTGAGTTCAATCCCCAACATTGACAAAAAATAAACTAAGTTGATATCAGTACCGATGGCCCATAAATTTGGCAGAAGTGATCAATATGAAAGATCAAAGTCTGAGAAATAAGGGCTTAGAATAAGACGAAAGGTCACAGGGTGCACGTTGAAGCGGCTTAAACTGTGGCCATTTCAAAAGCACGAATGGAGAGATACCGTTAGGGCAGGGACACGGGAGCTCCCTCACACTCTTAAAACAGCTCTGTTCAGATTAGATGGGGGAACCAGGAGAAAGCAATTTCATCCTGTAAATGCTTCAATTTTGTCCACCGTATGCATCAACAGTTAAATTAAAATGTGCAACAAGTTCAAAGCCTGATTTCAGGAACAGTGACTGCACAGGGAGGAGAAGCTTCTTAACAGCCTCTCAATATTTGCCTCACTAGGATCAATTATATACCACGGCTAACACACACTTGGAGAGCGCCCAGCCACAGGACAGGTGCTGAATGCAAAACACAGCCCCGCCCAGGGTCCTTTTAAGCCGCTGGGTGCACACTCCATTACAGATTCATAATGCACGATGGCCGCTTCTCTGAGGATGGGTTTAGAGTGACAAGTCCTTAAATGTCTGGGTGCTTGGGTCTGAAAGGCCAGGCACTGGCCTTTCACAGCTCACAGGCCATGCTTTGGACTGCTCAACCCATTTGAAGCCACCTGTAAAGGGATGGCTCTGTCCTTTCTCTCATTAATGCCTTCACTTCCAGGAAAATTAGATTAGACGAGAAAAGCCATTCAAATGAGACTGAAGTTTGCCTTCCCCTAAGCCTTTTCTAGGAAGAGCCCCTGACACAAAGCAGAGTGGCTCCCTTCTCCACCGTCAGGCCCCCATGATCGATCACCTTACTGAAGGGTCCCCGTGCTGCTGGACACGAGTGGGTTACACGGAGGCACAGCCGAGGGTTGTTGGATGGCTTCCTGTGTCTTATCCTCTGTGTCTGACAGGCTGGCCAAAGCTTTCTGTGTGCCGTGGGATATAGGAGTTGTCATTTAGGAAAGAGACTCAGGTGCGAGCTACCAAAGCCAGAGCTTAAAGGACAAAAAATCCCCTCATTCATTTAAGAAAGGGTTCACCAGGCTGGGAACCCCAAATCTCTGAAATACGGAAAATATTAGAGCTACTATTTTCTCCAGTAAGTGTGGCAAGGGTGGGAGTGGCATTATTTATGCATTTACAGAAGTGTTATGAATAATTAGTGCTCAAAGGGCACGGCAGGAGGGTCTCTGAATAAAGCATAAATTGAAATCATGAAAAGACGAGTTACACATGCAAAGGGAAATATAAATAAAGAAATAATGCGGCTACCCGCTTGATGTCTTAGGTGTGCACCTTACGCCATGTTTTGTGTGTATCTCACAGCGTCCTCACAACTACCGGCATTTCAGAGGAGGAAGCCCAGGTTCAGAAATCTGAGTGACTCAAGGTCACAGAGCTGGGACTGGAACCCAGGACTACCTGAATGGGATCCAGGGATCTCAACCCAACCATGGCAGTTTTTCAGTGTAGTAGGTGACACCTGGGATTTTACAAAAATGAAACAGAATAAAATAGAAACAAAACTTGGGACAAAAGCATCACTTTGTTTCAGTTTATATTTGCGTTCACCTGGACTTAGGCACCGCGTGTCTGTGTCTGGCATGGGCACCAAATGGCTATACCCTCTCAGAGTCGTTCAAGGTCACCCTGACAGTCTCCTGCAGGCTCAGTGTGCCTGGCGCTCCTACACTCCCTGTGCTTGAGAGTCATCTTCTTTCTCACGTTACCTCTCCCCAAGAGTTGCAGGGCCCCAGCCATTCTTTGCCAAGCAGTCTAGATAAATTAATAAAACGATTTAAAACCCATTCCACCCAGATAAATAGTGCTTCCGAGATCAAGCGTGCGGCAGGCCGGGATGGATGAAGTTTACTAACCCCGGGACGCTGTGACTTCCATCACACAGGAGTTAATGACTGCAAGACAGGAGGCGACGCAGCTCACTTCTGCTCTTACAGGAAGTCTGGCCGTCTCGTTTTTAGCAAATCTTTCGTCTAAGCATGGCTGGGTGCCCAGGAAAATGGCCTTACTCCTCTAGGACATTGGCCAAGGTCACATATCAAAGCCCCAGTCTTCACCACGGGGGGACCGTCTCAGGAGGGCTGCTTGGGTGCCCTCCTCTCACCCTGAGCCTCCATCTGTTTTGCAGCCCTGGCAAGGAGGGGGTGACACGTACCTTTAGCACAGTCTGCGCCTAGGAACCCTGGGAAGCAGTGACACAGGCCGGACACACACTCGCCATTCCCGTGACAGTTCCGAGGACAGTCCTGCACCGAATCTGAAAAAGAGAGACACTGAGCCAGTGGTTCTCCTCTGGCTATGGGTGTACCCTTTAGTACCCAGTCACCCGCCATCTTTAAACACCAGTGGAGCAGTGCAGCTGCCCAAAAGACGCAGTGAGTGATGGGAGAGGGTAGTGGGGACGAGGACAGCATGGTCAGTGTGTGGAGGTGACCACCACGCTCCGGCAGCTTAACCCACACAGGGCCGTGGGGCTCCTCTGGTTACAGCATTTGCTTTCTTCAGAAGAAACTACCTGGATGGATTTAAAAACTACAGAAGGGCCCATGTTTGAGCCTTGCTGAGTTTTAAATACTAAGCGCTCCTGCTCCCCCCAACTCATTCCACTAATTTGAGATGTGGTCAAGGTTTTAGGCCCAGGAATGGAGGGTACCTCTTCAGACTAAGACCAGTTGCTCCTAGTCTCAGGTTTGCGAAGTTAAAAAATTCCTGCTCTGAAATTGTCATAATGGAAGAAAAATCCAGTGTGGTCCTGGGCTGCAGACGGTGTTTCACTCAGTGACGGTCCACTGCCTCTGTGATGTATTTCTTTTTTGGTGGTACTAGGGATTGAACTCAGTTCCTTGTGCTTGCTAGGCAAGTGCTCTGTCACATTAGCTATACCCCAGCCCTTTTCCTTTTTTTACTGTTTTTCAGTCAGTGTCTCAAGCTTTTTCCCTAGCCTTGTCTTAGACTGTGATCCTCATATCTAGCCTCCTGAAAAACTGGGGTTATAGACAGGTATCACCACATACAGCTTGCGTTTGAGATAGAGTCTCATTACTTTTGCCTAGGCTGTCCTCAAACTGAAATCCTCCTACTTCTGCCTCCTAAATAGCTGGTTTATAGGGGTGTACCACCACACCAGGCTTGTTTTTGAGATAGGGTCTCTCTAACTTTTGCCAGGCTGGCCTCAAACTGTGATCCTCCAGTCTCTGCCTTCTGGGTAGCTGGGATTACAGGTGTGTGCCATTGTGACCAGCCAGAATTTAACTGTCTGTGTGTATTCTCAAGTTGTCTCTTTCAAAGGAATATTTTGGAATTTTTTCTTATTGATTTGGGCCTAAATGAAAATAGACCTGATATTTTAAAGTCAGTGTTCTTTTATTTTTGACTTAAATGAGCACATAAAACACATTTAGACATTCAGGTTCCAAATCGCTAAGATGATAAAAAGAAAAATAAAAGCCATTAGGCCCAAAATGTGGCATTTGGGAGGGTTGGAGACAGTGCCTTGGCTGCTTGGTATGAAGGACTGTGACATCTAAATGTTCCTGACGCAGTGACCCAGCATGGTAAGGACTCACGTCCTTGCAGCCTAACGTCCGACTCACTGCAGTCTGCGCTGAGCAGTGCAGGTGCGACCTGGTGTGGCCAGGTGTGACCTGGCCATCATTCTGCAGCGCTCTTTCCCAGCTTTGCTCTCCTGGAGCCAGGCTGCACTTGTCTCTGGCACTCTGGGGAAAACAGAGTGCGTGCTTCCTTCAAAATCAGTGTGCTTGAACACGCCAGCGTGGGGCTCCTCAGAGCTGAGCTGGGGGCATCCCAGCGCTCCCTGTGTGCCCCGTGTGTGCCTTGCTCAGAGAGAATCAGGTGCTTTCGTGGATCAAAGCTGGTGTTGGGGCAGCTGTCCTGGTCACCAGTGTCCCGAGAGGGGGGTCACTGGGCCTGGCAGCTATGGACGTCTTTCCACGGTGGTCTGTGCAGGCACAGACATGGCTCTCTGCAGAGCAAGGGCCGGTGTCTCGTGATCTGCTATAATGAAGATGGTGCCTCCCCGTGGAGGAAAGGGTCAGCGCCCTGACTCTCCATTACAAGGGACTCAGGATCAGGAAGCTACTTGTGCGGGGTCACCTGACCCTCTTCCTGTCACTCAGTGGGACTGGGACTTGGTACCTGACACAGGTGCTGTTATCCTGGCTGCTGCATTTGTCTGAGTAAAAAGCCCCTTGTCTCTGACTCAGGTGGCTCGTGTCTTCTGGTCACCCGTGGAAGGGTGGGTGGCTAATGTAGAAGCTCTCGGGCTTGCCACGGTGCTTGACAGGGGGCTGTGCATCAGCTGAGCACCTGCTGTATGCAAGGAAGTGGAGCTGCCTAGGTGGATAAGATGAACACTCCCTGTCCACACAGAACCGTGCACTGCCATAGAGACTGTAACCCCGCTCCCAATCAAACAAATGAAATAAGTGAACATTGTGGTAAACTGCTGGGTGTTGTGGCTTACGCTGACAATCCTCGTTACTCAGGAGGATCATGGTTCAAGGCCACCCTGGGCAAAAAAGTTTGAGAGACCCTAAATTGACCAATAAAGAGCTGGGCATGGTGACCCATGCTGTCACCCGAGCTGTATGGGAAGTGTAAGTAGGAGGGCGTAAATGTGAGATGCTGTTCAAAAAATAACTAAGACAAATAGAGTGGTTCAAGAGGTAGAGGACCTGCCTAGCAAGTGCAAGGCCGTGAGTTCAAAACCAAGTACCACCAAAAAATTCGTGATGAGCGCTTTGAAGAAAATAGGGTACTGGAGTGGGGGAAACAGGAGGAAGCCAGTCAGGGAGGACGGTCAGGAAGGGTCTTTTTATTCTAAGCAGGTGACAGGGAAAGATGTCCCTGTGATGAATTGCGAGAAGGGTGTTCCAGGTAGAGGACTAGCTCAAGCAAAGCTAAGCTAGATGAGATGAGAAAGAAGTTTGCCGAATCCGACGTGGCTGGTGGGTAGTGAGCCAAGAGTAGAAAGACATGGGATGAGCTGGGGGAGATGTAGTTGGGGGCACAGATCATCCAGGCCCAGTAGTCCACGCACACAAAGTGGGTTTTATTCTGGGAACATAGGGGCATTTTATACCAAGCTGGCAGCTTTAGAAGACATTCCTATGGTGGCACAGGGGTTGCTTCCACTGAGCATGGCAATCTGGGGATATTTGGTAGAAAGGGACCTTTCTGCGCAATTGCTGCTGGTTCTCTAACCTTATATCCTCAGAGAGAAAGCCGTAAGGTCCAGGGGGCCCCTGGCCACCACGGTCCCGTGGAACAGGGAAGGCCTCAGCTGGACAGTTTATCTTTACGCCCCTGTTTAGAAGTCACTCAGTTCCTGGGTACCTTTCTGTCCTCCATCTGGCCATTATAGCCCTTCCTTGTTTCTCTGATTCCTGCAACTGTATCTCTCTTCCTCTGAGGAAGACACCAGATTTCAGTTGTTCATAGGAGTATTCTCAATGCCTGGCACACAGTAGGTGCTTGGTACACAGTCTTCAAAGTGTGCTGATGTGTGTGTGTGTGTGTGTGTGTGTGTGTGTGCTCACACATGCACCAGAGGTTAGGAGAATCCAAAACAAGCAAACATTCTAACAGAGAGTATTTCTCATTAATTTCCCCAAGGTGTTATGTTTGAAGCAATTCTACAGTTTTTTGAGGAGCAAACCTGATCCTGTGGTCCTGCTAAAATATGAAGGAGCCCACCGTTCAGTCCCTTTCTCAATTACACATCACAATGGAGGTACTATCTGTCTTCCTTGGTGACTCCTTGGTGCTGAGGATGGAACCCTGATGCACGGTAAGCAAATGGTACATCACTGAGTAACACCCCACCCCGGCCCCAGGAGCTGGGGTCACGTGTGCTTCCAGATGTGACTCTGCTGCCCAGAGGGGACCTTCATTTCTGAAAGCTGGCTGCTGCTCCACAGAACATGAGGCTCCCCCGAGCCAAAGGTATATTTAATGTGATGGCGGGTGACACCTGTCTAACACCTCTCCTTTCTGTCTCCCATCACAGGGGCTCCTGGCCACTGTTGATGGAGAGTGCTCTGATGATAGGTGTGTGGAAAGAGCCTCGGCCCAAGTAAAACACTGTTCTTTCCCCTGTGTTCCAGGCAATTCCTGTCATTGCTCTATTAAGATGCCTGCCCAACTATTAGACCGATTGCCCTTGACTTTCTGAGCTGTGGTGCGGACGAGAGAAAGTCTCTGGGGAGAAATGCTGCTCCCAGCTTGAAGGGCAAGGGAGGGGATGGCCTGGGGAAGGGAACCTCGCCGGGACAGTTCTGTGTCCGAGTGGATAAAGGAAAAGGAGGCACAGCCATCACTGGATAACATGCTCCCTCGCCAAAAATTGCTATATTGGCTAGAATCCAAAGACATTTAGTGGTCGAGGGCAAAGGCTCGGGAAAGCTGGAATTCTGACTTCAGCTCTCACTGGTTGTGTGTGACCTTGGAGCTGTGTGTGACCTTGGAGTTGTATGTGATGTGGAGTGAGTCCATTAACTTTTCTTAGCCTTGGCGCCCTCCCCCACTGGAAAGCAGAAGGCTGTGACACTACCTACCACCTGTGCCTAGGGGTCTGCAGAGCTGACATGACAGGACCCACACAGTCCATGTCTCTGTGTTGTTGCCATTAATCATCTGAGAGAGTCCCTATGAACCCCAATTCAGTCAGCCACTATGTGTCGTGTGTGCTGTCATGTATGCATCAAGCCTCTGCGTTTAAGCCCAAAGTGACCAGAAGGAAGGCATTTCTATAAACTAAAGACTTATAAAACTCTTAACAACTCAAGCTAGCTCTACACTGACTTACTTTCTACCTCCTGTGAGCTCATCCCTTTCCCCCCAGTAAGACCTGATCTCATCCTGGAAGTTCCCATGTGTGGGATGCTCCCCAGTGACTTTCATGAGACCAAGTTAGGGCATGACTTTAGAGCAAGGGTTGGTATGCTTTTTCAGTAAAGGGACAGACAGTCACTATCTAGGTTTTCTGGGCCATACGGTTGAGCAGCCACTCAACTTTGCTACTACACAGGGAAAGCTGCCACGGACGACGTGCAAACAGTTGAATACTCCAATAAAACTTTATTTATTCAAACAGGCCCCAGGCCACCACTGGCCCCTGGTCTACACAGTGTGCCAACTCCTGTCTTAGAGAGTTTGGCTAGCCTGGATAGGGCCTGTCTGTTTTCAGCACTGGGAGTGAGGATGGACTTCAGTCCTGTGGCTTATTCCAAAATTCTGTGATTTTGTACAACTCTGACATCCTTCTGGCCGCCAATGAAGAATTGCTACCTGATTTTGCAGTTGCAATTACACAGAACTTTCGAGAATCAGGGAGCCCCTCAGAAAAACCCATGGGGCCAACAGAGAAGGTCTTCAAATGCAGTTCGTAGAAAAACAGCTCTAGAGATGTATTCCTAAAACACTTGCCACTGTCATCGGTGACAGTCCCTTTGTCACCATTCTCATGTTACCATCTTGGATGTGGTGACTGCCTGCAGAGTTCCTACCCAGGATGGGTACCATCACCAGGAAGATTAAATCCTAGTGACACATAACCTTAATGACAATATCTTCAGCTTCTTTGATTATTAAAATTCTGAGAGCTTTTAGAGAAAACGCCGTGAATTCTTCCCAAGCTACCCACCCTTTTGGGATTTGTACGCACATACAAGAGGGCGTATTGGATAAAACCTTAGCTTTTCTCTCACTAGCTAACAAAGAGCAGGGCTCAAACATGCCAGAAATGACAAGTGCTTAATTAAAGGATCTGGAGATTTGCCCACTTGGAAATAAAGATATGATTTTTTTATGTCTATATTCTTTCTCTGATTTATTTTTAAGTTTTAAGAAACTTTTGATATTGAGGATTCTCAGGCTTTAAGAGTGGTTCTGAGCAGATGGGAATGGTTGGTGCTCACTGCCTCTCCTGGATGCTTAGTGATCATGTATTTATTTTGGGTTTTGTTGGTGACACCCAGTGCATGGGGACCTGTGCTGGTCCCGTCCTACCAGAAGGAAGCTGGAGCTTTTTCAAGGCCAGCTGTTTGCTTAGCTTGTGTGACCACATCCCTGGTACCCTGGCGACTCTGCCATGGCCGGAGCAGTGTTCCTGGATAGTCAGTGTTGAGGTTAACGTGAGGACAGCCATGTTAGGACCAGACTCCCTCTCCCCTTGCTTACGGGAAATTACTCACCCAACCCCAAAGATTGACAAAGGGACAGTTGTTAACTTTTATCTCCAGGTGGGTGCCAAGGACAGTTGAGCAGACAGTGACCTAACTACAACTTATCTTTCTTGGTTGCACAGTGACAGTATCCCTTAGAGACCTTCTGGGTACTTTTCACTAGGCCCCCTATATCTAGGCCAAGCCTGTGTGTGGCAGTGGGCTCCAGCTCTCTGGCTGGGGACCCCTCCATTGGGCTCCTGCCTGAACAGTAATCCCTGTGCTGGTGTTTGAGCCGTCTCTCTGCCTCTTCCATGCCTCTTTCATTTCAATAGTCAGAGCTGGCTTGGCAGGGTGACACGGTGAAGTCCAAGTGAGGGACTCTGGTTTGACCCCAACTGTAGCAAGAACTCTGTTCTACAGAGAAGCCTGGACAGGACCTTGCATCCATGCCCCCCTCCAGGGCATCTCGCCAGAGCTTGCACCTACCTAAGACGACCGTGTTGAAGGACACCGTCTCCTTGTCTTTGCCATCATTGTAGAAGGCCAGGTGCCACAGGCCCACGTCCAGGTACTGCACGAACACAGCCTCGTTCTGCACCAGGGTCTGAATGCTGCGCCGCTCCCGGGGTGACTCCACCACGCTCCACTTCTCCTTCCCGTCCAGGCGCTCCATGAAGTCATACTGTGACGGGGACATGAACGTGAGACAGTGTGGCTGCTGCCCTGCCACTGCCCCCACCCAGCAGCTAACCACAGGTCCATCCAGACAATGCATCACAGAAGTGGACAGCCACCCTTCAGAATACTTGTCACAATTCCCAGTAACTTAATTACTGTAGGCCACTCCTCTGCAGTTCTGAAATCCAGAAAACGTGCGCTCAGAGGTTTTTTTTTTTACCCATGAGTGTGCGCGTGATGACGTGAGGTGTGAGTTGTCACTGCAGTGCTGTGTGGCGTTTCTAAAATGCTCAAAGCCCCTAGCTACTCAGGACACCCAGGAAAGAACTGTGGGCCATGTCACCTGCTATCATTTATGGATCATTTCCTCGGCGAAGTCAGGACAGGCAAGTGACTAAGAGTGAGGGTTGTAGAGTCAGACTGCTTGGCTGGGACACTAGCTTCACCCATCTGTGTCTCAGTTTCCCCATCCAAAAAATGGTGAAAGTAATAGTGTCTATGTTGTAGGGTTGTTGTGAGCATTGATACAATATTTAGAACGGTGTCTGGCTCACAGCAAACAAAATACACATCGGCCACCACCACCACCACCACCATCACCATCTTGATTGTCATGATCAATTCTTGAAAAAACTCATTTGTAGTACGATTTATATCTATTGATCAATGGATCCATCCATCCATGTCTGCCTGTCTGCCTGCCTATCTATCTATCTATCTATGTATCTATCTATCTCTTCTATCTATCATCTACCTTTTATTATCTATCTAGCTATCTCTCAATCATCTATCTCTTCTATCTATCTATCTATCTATCTTGATCTACCTACCTACCTATCTTTTATCTATTTGTCTGTCTGACTGTCTATCTATCGTGGGTGGGTGTGTGGTGCTGGGGACGGAACCCAGGGCCTTGTACATGCTAGACATGGACCCTACCACTGAGCTATGGCTACAACCTGTATCCATACTTTTCCGATACAAGAAAGTGAAACTCAGAGAAGTCAAGCAATTCATCCAAAGTCACACAGTTACTAAATGGCTGAGCAAAACCTTGGACATAGATCTAGTCAGCTGTAATGTCTATGCCCTTACAGTGCCTGGCCTTGGGCAAACCAGCTGTTAACCTGTTTCAATGCAAACCAGATTCAGAACTGGCCGAGATGAGTGAGCTACGGAATAGTTAGGGATGAGAGAGCAGGAAAAGCAAGTGTCACCCAGGACAGGCAGGTCTGCTGGACACAGCAGGGGAAATCTTAGGGCAGGCAAGTGGGAGCTATTGAGATGCTTGAGCAGGGACTGATGTAATAAAGGGTTGTTTTGAAGTGGGGTGGGAGACATTCTACAGGGGAGATTGAGAGCACGCAGGAAGTGGGGACTACAGAAAACCACATGCAAAGAGAAAAGGCTGATGAAGACGGTGAAGGAGAAGAACAAGGAACAGAGAAGGACATCTCAAAGGACAGAAGGCAGGGCTGGGCACTGGGCTAGACAGGCAGGACGAAGAAGGCAAGGAGGACACCAGTGCGTCTCACTGTTGAGAAGGCCTAGAAAGCACGGCGGAAATGGACTAGCCTTGCAACCTCCTTCACGATCACTGCTCTCTGCCTTCCGGGAGCATTCGCAGTGTGGGTGTCAGCCGAGGATCCGCCTGTAGGACTGAACTCTCCTTCCCTCTCCCTGCGGAGAGGGGTGTCAAGGCTGCCACCATCACCTGTCACCCATCACAAATTTCACAGTACGAAACTTCAGGGATCCTCTTGTTGGCTGCCTCATCAGTCATCAGAGTTGCCTGTTTCCATCTGAAATGTCTTTGCCAAAGCAAAAGACCCTACAGTGTTGAGCACCATGGTTTGGCCATCAGGCAAAACTGAGTGTGAATTCTGCCACTGCTACTGGCTTGTTTGATGCTGATTCTATTTTTACCCTCTGTCTGCTTCTTTCCCCACTAGGGATGACAGCGTGTAACCTAGTTGCTACAAGGATGATGTGAGAGGGTGCTTGTGGCAGAACCGGGAAGATAATAAGTGTTTTTTGAGAACTTGGTGACTAGCAGTCACCCATGTGCAAATCAGGATGGTCACAGAGCAGGGACTCGCTGTTCTTGTTTTGCACATGGGGAGCTGCAGCTGGCCAGTGCCGGGAAGAGGACGGTTAGCCACAGCCCAGGAAGGAACTGTGTAGTTTAGCCTCCCTTTGCCCGTGCTCCATTGGTCACAGCAGTCTTTATGGGATATGACAAATGACACAGCTTTCAGAGACCTCTGTAGCCAACACATTTGTTCCTTAGCAACCTTGAGCATGTCCAGTCATACAGACGGCTGTCAGCCAGAGGGATGACTGCAGCTTCCAGGGGGCCCAGGTGAGAAAGGACTTCATTTGGGATCCAAGTGATCACACCCACGAGGAACAGCTGGGGAAGGCGATTACTTTTCTGGGGCCATCGCTCACGACTAACGTGGACATTTATCATCTCTCACCAGATGGACTGGCCAGGGAGGGACACAGGAAGGTGCAGGACGACTGGGCGGGGGGCGGGGGGGCAGTGCTTGTGGTCCAGCCAATCAAATTCCTCCGAAGAAGGCACTTTTCAGCCTGGATGCTGGACATCTATTTGACTCCTGAGTCCATCTGCAGAGGCTTGGAGGGCAGTTTCCAATTAAGGAAGACTCCGCCAGCCATGGCTTCTGAAGCAAGGCAGGGGACAGGAGGAGGGGTAGGATGGGTCTCGGTCCTGTACCCCAATTGCACTTTATCGTTTCCCAGCCTCGTTTCAGCCCCAGAAATGATCGAGCTATTTTCACGTCCACACTGGACGTGAAGAACACCAACTGCAGCGCTGTGTGCGCTGGAGTGGCTCAGGGTGAGGACCTCAGAGCCAGCACTCCTGGGCTTGGGTCTCATCTCAGCCGTGCCTCTGTCTTCTGATCTCTAAAACGGGGATAGGAATACCAGCTCAAAAGGCCCTGCAGGAATTAAAGGAGTCAGTACGCGGGAAGTATCCAGAGTACTCAGTACTTTCTATGTGGGAAACACTCCTTGGCAGTTTCAGCTATCACCATGGTCACTGTGGTATCAGATTCACCTGCAGCAGGATCTGATCAATAAATATTTGTTAAAAATTAGATGAATGAAATAACAGATCTGCAAGTGAACTCCACAGAGAGGAAACTAAATCCGGGATGCATTGAAGGTTTTGTCTCTAATAATAATCACTCTTGCTTCCTTTTTTCCAAGTGCCATCTTGAATGGGGAGGAAGGGGTAAGGTTGCAGTCAGCAACCTGGAATCCTGTACCAACCAGGCAGACTGTGGTGTTGGGGAGGCTGTGGACTGAGGTGTTTGCAAGTTCATATCCAGCATCAAGATTTGACACGTGCCTACAGAAGGCCTCTGACATCTCCTTCCCAACTCTCAATGGCACGAGACCCAACAGTTCCTTCTCTTGTCCCCTTCCCTCTCCTCCCTTGACACTGTTCCTTAGTGACCTCTGAGGTTGGGATTGTAAGTGTTGCCCACATCACAGTCCGGTGCCTTTGCGGCCCTTTTGTAGCTAGGCGGGTCAATGCTGCTGCTGTGGAAACAGAACCGAGGCTTTGGGGTTCTGTTACTTCCAGGCTCTGCCATCACATGACCTGCACAATCCTTTGGGGTCTCTACTTCTATGCCTACCTACCTACAGGGTGCCAGGGCACCTTCAAGTCCAGGACAGCGGAACCACGAGCCAGGAGTGGCCCGGAGGGGGCTACAATCAGCACTTGGAGAGCTTGAACTTGTGCCATGCGTGATCTGTGAACGCCCGCTACATGAAGTCTCTGACAGATGAGACCGGGGGTTCAGCACTGCTCATCACAGACTCCCTGACTCCAGGCCTCTCTTCCTTCCCAGTCCACACCCCAACATCTCAGCAAGTTCCAGCATGATTTTCATTGCTTGTCAGACAGAAGGGAGAGTCACCCAGGAGGACTTGGCATTGTCTCCCACGGGTGAAATCCCAGCTCTGTTACACACAGGGCATTGATCCCAGTTTTCCCAGGGGCACTGTCCTCTTCCTGTCTCAGTAGCACGTCGGAATGGACAGGTGCTTTTCCTCCTTGCAGCTCACACAGCCCAGGTGGCTTCAGGTCAGTCACTCACTGCTGCGGTGACTCGGGGAAGGGTGAGGGATGGGGAGGATCACCCACACTCTAGGGCAGGGAGACCAGGAGCCAGTGCGAGGTTGGTGTGTGGTGAGGACATCTGGATCCCAGGAGCCTCCAACGTAGGCTGACCAGCTTGCTTGGCAGACTGTCTGACACCAGAAGACCACCATATCCAAAGCCCAGCCCTGGCCAGAGTCCCTGTCTCATGGTTTAGCTCAGGCTGAGGACAGAGGCCTTTGTTCCAGAACCTCACGGTGCTCAGCCCAGGATGCAGGCTGCTCAGGGCACAGGCCAGGCTGTTGGCTACAAAGTCTGTGCCATGGCACATTCTCACTAACAGGCCTCCAGACGCCCTGGAAGGCGCAAGAAGGCTTATGGGTGAATCCCACTAGAAGGGCGTATCTGTGCCAGGCTGGCTGTAGGGGAGTCTGTTTCTTTGAACTGCTTGTCTGTTTTTCAGCCACCTGGGTGTGTGTAGGGGGTGCAAAATAACACAGAATACACACTTCCCCCCTCCAAGTTCTCTCTGTCCTCTGGCCTTGGAGGAATAACCCCAGCTGGCATGCAATGTGCCACTGTCTTCCTAAGTCATCAGTCATGCCCAAAGTGGCACGAAAACACAACTTTTATGAGCACTTGGGAGGCAAAGAAAGAAAGCACAGCAAATATTTTCCTGATCCAATTATAAATCGCCTCACTTCTTGGCAGCACGCAAGGAGGAACAGTAACTAAGATAACTTCGGACTTCCTGAGGAGCTGGAGGAGAGACTGGGTGCTGGCCCATGGAGCAGGGCCTGTCACTTGCCCACACAGAGAGGCTTCTGGAAGCCCCAGCCATGTACACCTGCCAGAGAGGGCAAGGT